GAAGCAACGAATGGAAACTAATCAAGGAGAGAAGCAACCTAGAACTAAGGAGAAAGTTCCTGACCATTAGAACAATTAACCAGTGGAACAACCTGCCTCCAAAAGTGGTGAATGCTCCAACACTGGAAGTTTTTAAGAGGAGACTGGATGGCCATCTGTCTGAAATGGTATAGGGTTTCCTGCTTGAGCAGGGGGTTGGACCAGATGACCTCCAAGGTCCCTTCCAACTTTTTTATTATTATTATTATTATTATTATTATTATTATTATTATTATTATTATTATTATTATTATTATTATTAATCGATCAGCACAGTCAGCCAGGTGTTCAAACTGGATTTGGCATTTGTCTACCTATCGAGTCCTTCCCCAGGACCTGGGATAGGCAGATGTGGATGTTTGATGGTATTACAGATATCGTCGCAGGATGGAAGCAGTTCCTAATAAGGCCGCCTTTTGCAATTGACTAATAGCAAATTTGTCAATGCCAATGGTGTTCAAGTGGTGCTCCAGTTGTTTTGGGATTGCACCCAAGGAGCCTATGACTATTGGTACTACCCTTGCTTGCTTTTGCCACAGTCTTTCTATTTCTATTTGTAGGTCTTTGTATTTTGTTATCTTCTCCAGTTCTTTCTCTTCTATTCTGCTATCTCCAGGCACTGCCACGTCCACTATCCAGACTTTTTTGTCTTTCTTATCGACAATTGTTAAGTCTGGGGTGTTATGTTGCAGGTGCTTGTCTGTTTGAATTCTGAAGTCCCAGAGCAGTTTAATTTTATCATTTTCTATGACTTTCTCTATTTTATGATCCCACCAGTTTTTGCTTACAGGCAAATGATATTTTTTGCAGATCTTCCAATGCACCATTGTTGCTACTTTGTCATGCCGCTGCTTGTAATCAGTCTGTGCAATATTCTTGCAACAGCTTACCAAGTGGTCCACTGTTTCTTCAGCTTCTTTGCATAGGCGGCACTTACTGTCTGTTGCTGTCTTCTCAATTTTGACTTTGTATGCATTTGTCCTTAAGGCTTGGTCTTGTGCAGCCAGAATTAGTCCCTCGGTCTCTTTCTTCAATTTTCCTGCTCTTAGCCATTGCCAGGTTTTATTATTATCTGCTTTCCCAGCTATTTTTTTCATGTACTGGCCATGTAGTGCTTTATTACTATTATTATTATTATTATTATTATTATTATTATTATTATTATTATTATTATTATAGAAAGAATTTCAGAAATAGCAGTAAAGGAAATGGAATTATTTCTCAAAGAAAATAAAAAAGAAGACACTTCACTCCAGTACATATGGGATATAGCCAAAGCATACTTCAGAGGATTAGCTACAACTTATACGGCTGAAAAGAATAAACAGAAAAAGCAACAGTGTACAATGCTAAGGGAAGAGTTTAAAAAATTGGAGCTAGAACTTCAAAAAGATCCACAAAAAAACTCTTAAAAGACAAATGGAGATAATTAAACATAAACTAAACCTAATAGAGTCAGAAGAATTCGCTCAACAAATGAAAAGAGCAAAAGAATTTTTTTCGAGAATGCAAATAAACTGGGAAGATGGCTGCTTATAAATTGAAAAAAGAAAGAGAGAAAAAGTTGATAAACAAATTGCAAGATGAGAAGGGAGATGTGTAACTCCAAAATGAGGCAATAAAAATAGTTAAAAGAATATTATGAAAAACTATAGTCAATAAAAATGATAAAACTCCAGGACCGGGATGGGTTACCTGCAGAGTTCTATAAATGCTTTCAAGATATATTAAGCTCTCCAATGAAGGAAGCTTGTGATAAGGCAATATTAGAGGCTAAATTACCAAATACATGGATGGAAGCAAATATTACCTTAATACCAAAAGACGACTCAGATTTATTACAGATAAAAATATTATAGACCAATATCACTATTGAATGTGGATTACAAAATTTTTGCTTCAATAATAGCAGAGAGATTGAAAAGATTTTTTTGGGGGGGGGAAACAAATTTTATTAGGTTTTTTTAATTCTTAAGACAAAGTACTCAGGACACACCGTGATGTTGGGGTAATCAAACGTCCAAAAACAAAACATATATACATAGTTCAATCAATACATCAAATATTCCCTCTCTTTTTCCCTCAAATAGCATAGTATATTTAAAATAATCCAATTCTAGCTTAAATTTATTCAACCTAGACCTGTTTTAAAGCTTTATAAATTTACAATACCATAATCAAATTAACTTTAAATAAAAACATTATCAATTCAGGTATCCCTTTCAAATATATTCTAGTTCCTTAATTTTATCATAAATCCTATTTCTTCTTCCACTAATATCCCCTATTTAAAATAAACTATTGATCTATCCTATATATATCTAATCCATCAATTAATCAATCTCTTTAAGCTGACAGAATAATATCAGACTTTAAATCATTTCAATCCATTAGATTACCTTTAATCCATTATATAATTAAAGTAACAAAATAATAAGCTTTAAATCATTTCAGTTCATTAAGCAAATTTCAAATTTCATCCAATTAATTATCATACCTTATCACATCTATATTATCATACAAAAACTAGCTTCCCTTTCAACCAATAGATCTCTCTTTATTGCTTGCAGTGTCCTTTGAAACAATAGGAATCCCATTCTCTGTATTAGGCCTGTTTCTCTCATCCTTAATGCTTTGTTACTTTAAAGTCTCAAGTCTTCATCTTTGGTTCTTCTCATCCTCAAAGCTATAAATGACATGTTTATAAGGTAAAATCTCTTTTATATCAGTTGTTTCCTCTTCTAGTAAGTTTTGATTTGTAGAATGGTCAGATATGGTCTGGAGATCAGTTTGAAGGTTTGAAGTGGAATTTCTGGTTCTTTTTTTTTTTTGTAAAAAATTTTATTTTCAATTTTATAATACATCACAATCTTACAATTACTTCAGATAAAAAATAAAACAAATTGATACAACCACATTAGGTCTTGCCCGTCCATTTCCCCCCAAACTGCATCCCACCTCAAACCAACTTACTTCTTTCCCTCTTTTTCTTCACTCACCCCCTCTCCTCCTTCACCTCCACCTTCCTACTTCCTTCTCACCTTCTTCTTCTCCCTCTTGATGCGGTCCAGGGGAAATGCCTGAGCAGTTCCTCTCTCAAAATTAAAACATTAATATTATATACAATAAGACTATTTCTACTTTATCTGAACTACTTAAACTTCAACCCATCCAAAAAAAAAGCAAAGTAAAGTGAAGAGAGGAGCCAAGAAAAAGCCTCACCCGGGTTCACTACGGTGGTTCTCAATGCTTAGATGTTCTTTGACTTACGGTTTGAAGCAGCTGGGTGATCGGCCGTTTTACTGGCCAATCTTCCTTCTGTCGGCCCTCAGAGATAGCTCGGACAGCTAGAGGAGCCGCTGCTCCTCCGCAGCCGAGCGAAGCCTCGTCGACAGAAGTCGTACCCTCCAGGACGACTTTCAACCTGCATAAGGGTCTACCGGCGGAGGGAAAACTAGCCGACAGGGAGACTGAAAAGATTTTTGATTGAACTTATTCATCTAGATCAAAATGGACTTTTACCAAAAACACAAATAAAACACAACTTAAAGATGATTTTAGATACATTATTAGAATACTATGAAATGCACCCAGGAAAATACATGGCACTAATATTTTTAGATGTTCAAAAAGCCTCTGATAATGTAAGCTGGTAATTTATGACACAACAATTAAACTGCATGGATTTTGGAAAAAGGTTTATAAATGTAATTAAGACAATATATCATAAACAACAGAAAAAGTAATTGTAAATGGGGACTATAGAGCTATGATAAAGATGTGAAAAAGTATGGCTTTTATAAAGAACAATGTTTGATCAGACACTCTTGACCTCTGATAAAAAACTGATTAAGAAACTATATAACTTTCTACTAAATTCAAAAATGGAGGATGAAAAAGTGAAAGAAATAATGATACAGTGAAAGAAAACTTTGGATATAGTATAGAATTAGAGAAATGGCAAAATCTTTGGGAAAGAAATTATAAACTGACCATGGCAAACTTCTAATAAAGACAACTGACATAGAATGTTCTATAGATGGCATTTACCACCTGCTAGGTTAGCAAAAATACTTTAAAATATGTCCAGTAAATGTTGGAAATGTAATCAAACCCCTGGCCTGTATTACCATATGTGGTGGCCTTCTGTCAAAGAAAAAAAAAATTGGGCCAAAAGACACAGTTGGTTAGAATTGATGTTAGAGAAACATGTAGATTTTAAACCTAAACTCTTTTTATTAGGTACAATATCAGAAAAATTTAATAAGCAAAGTGTATATTTAACATTGCATGTATTAACAGCAGCAGGGATTGTATTTGCTCAGCTCGGGAAGAATGAAGAAACCCCACTAGACAAAGAGATAATCAAGAAGATATTGGACTGTGCTGAAATGGACAGACTTACGTTGAGGATGAAAAAGAAAGAAGATACAGAATATTTTCAAACATGGAATTTATTTCCTCAATGGTTAGAGAAAAGGGGTAGACACTAAGAATGTAACTTGTATAATTAAGCAAACAAATTGGCGCAGACAACACGATGTTTATTAAGCACTAATCAAATATAATAGAAAATTAGAGTTGGAAGGGAACTTGGAGGTCTTCTAGTCCAACCCCCTGCTCAGGCAGGAGACCCTATTACTATTCCTGACAAATGGCTGTCCGGTCTCCTCTTAAAAACCTCCAGTGATGCAGTACTCACAACGTCTGGAGGGAAGCCATTCCCAAAGAATCAACCTTCACTTGAAGGAGACTTTTGAAATCTTCCCACCAGCAGAAAATCGCAGCCCCCAGTTTAACAGCGAGCAATACCAGTGGAGTTAAAAGTTGGGGAGGGAAGGGATTGGCAGCAGCACCAGCTGAGATGCTTCAGTCTAGTTGCATCTCTGCTTGGACGCCGTGGAGGAAATCAAACAGCCCAGCTTGTTCTCGGCTTCTCCTCCGACCTGCCCTCCACTCACCTTCCAGCTGCTGCTTCAATCCGGGAAGAGCACAAAATCCTCCCTACACACCATCTTCCTCTGATTAGTGATCAGGAAGAGGAAGTTCCTCGGCGCTTCCCCTCTCCTCTCCTCTCTAGCAATATAGTACTCGATGGTTTTAACTCGTTTAAAGTCAGCCACAGATGCCACATTCTGTATTGTCCCCTTGCTAAGCACAGATGTTGCCTGTTTGACCGTGGATAGGAGGCGAAAAGCACGCTTCTCTCGTCTCTGCCTAAGGCGTTTGCACGATTTCCCCCTTGATTAAAAGCTATCAAGTAGTTTCTGACTTCTAGCAACTAACCTTTGCAACAGAGCCTAGTGAAATGTGATGCTAGTTACATTAGTTCAGTGTTTCTCAACCTTGACAATTTTAAGTCATGTGGACTTCAACTCCCAGAATTCCACAGCCAGCATTGCTGGCTGTGGAATTCTGGGAGATGAAGTCCACATGACTTAAAATTGTCAAGGTTGAGAAACACTGCATTAGTTACATTAGAAGATTAGCGAGGTGCTGAGCCCCAAATGTTCATGACGGTTTTACACAATTATACAAACAATTTTCCTAGGGGTGACTCTCAGGAGAGATCAAAATCTCTCTACATCTGAAATCTTTATGACTTATTTAATGTGGCTCCCAAAGTTTTAGGACATAGCAGCAACATCAGGCCAGATGCTACAAGGGAGCCAACTTCCCTCTTGCTGCCCAGGGCTGCATCCAAGAGCACCCAGCATACCATTCCTGAAGGAGGACAACCTATATCTGCTAAATGCTATGTACTCCTGTAATTGTGCTTGCACAGAAGTCTCCATTAGGTCACACAGAGAAAAATGTGCAGCAGGGCCTCGAAAACGGGCTAAGAAAGAGGGGGGTGATTGTGAATATATGGTAGAAGAAATATTTCCAAACTACATTTTTCAAAAGAAAAAAAAAAGGAAGAATAGAATATCCCACCAAAGCACATGGCCAACTGATCTCCATTTCTCCTTACTTCTAGATTGGATCTTCCTTTGACAACCTTCCACCCATGAACTTCTTGTTCTGCCTTCCATTGCCCTAGAGAATAAATTGATCTCCTCTTCATGACAGGCCCTCAAGTAGTGGAAGACAGCCATCATGCCCCCCCACAATCCTTCTCTTCCATGGCCTAGACCAGTGGTTCTCAACCTTTTTAATGCTGCGACCCCCAACCGGTCATAAGTCAAGGACTACTCAACTGGTGCAGCACCATTTGCAGAATGGGACTTTTGGCGGGCTCAGCAGGGCAGAGACAGCCTGGACAATTCCTATTGGCTTTTGAAAGCCGATAGAATTAGACTCTATTCAAGAGAGTCTATTCTATTGGCTTTCAAAAGCCAATAGAATAAAAGGGAGTAGCACAGCTAAGGAAAAGGGGGGGGGGAAATGGCGGACTGCATTGTTTGGTGACCCCCATGAAATGGTCGTTCGACCCCAAATGGGGTCCTGACCCACAAGTTGAGAACCACTGGCCTAGACATACCTAGCTCTCAACCGATTGTCATTTAGCGTTCAGTCCATTTATGATCTTTCTTCTTCTCTGGACATTTTCCAGGGCCTCAACATGTGTTGAATCATGGGACCAGAACGGGGCACAGTATTCTAAGTGTGGACTCAACAGTGTGGTGTAAAGTGGTACTATCACTTCTTGTTGTCTTGACACTACCCCTCTGTTGATGCAACTTACGACTACATTGGCTTTTCGGGGGGGCAGCTGCAGGAGATTCCCTGATCCTACCTGTCCACTAGGACACCTAGATTCCTCTGTTGAGCCAGATATTACATATTCTATTCCTGTTCTTTTCGTTTTTCCTACCTAGGTATAGGACCTTATTTTATTCACCACAGAGCTGCATTTTCTTGGCCCAATGCTCAAATGTATCAAGATCCTTCTGGATCTTGAGCCCATCTTCTAAAGTATTGGCTCTTCCCCCCAACTTGGTGTCATCTGCAAATTTCATAAGTTCCCCTTCTATCTCCTCCACTAGATCATTTATGAAGATGTTGAAGAGTCCTGGGCCCAAGACCGAACCTTGAAGTACCCCACTGCATGCTTCTCTCCATGTAGGTGTAGTTCCATTGATGACTGCATTGACTTTTTTTTTTTTTTTTGGCAGCTAAAGCACACACTCCTGTCTTACCCTTGTCCGTTGGGACATCTAGATTGCTCTGTTGAGCCAGCTATTACCTATTTTATCCCTGTACTTTTGTTTTTTCCTGCCTAAGTGCAGACATTATTTTCCTCATCATTGAATTACATTTTGTTGGATAGATCCCAATGCTCAAGTCTATCAGGATCCCTTTCGATCTTGAGCCTATCTATTTATGAAGATGTTGAAGTGTACTGGGCCCAAGACCGAACATTGAGGTACCCCACTGCATGCTTCTCTCCATGTAGATGTAGTTCCATTGAGGAATACCCACTGAGTGTGGTTGGTCAGTCAATTGCAAATCCACCTAGGGCTGGTTCTATCCCATGTTGTTCTACCTTACAAAAAAAAAAAAAAAAAACTTGCGCTCTACCTGGTCAAATGTCTTGCCGACGTCCAAGTATACTATCTCCAAAACATTTTGCAAATCCACTAATTATGTTACTTCATCAAAAATGGCAATAATGCTTGTCTGGCATCACAGTCTTAACAAACCCATTCTGGCTTGTTACAGCTGCACATCATTTCTGTTTCTCCAGAAGCATTAGTGGAAACAGAAGTTTACTTTAATTAAACAACTTGTGAAATTCTCAGTCTTTTAAAAGAAGAAATAAAATAAGGGGGGACAGGACCCAGAAGAACCAAGAGGGGTTACAGGCACCTTCAAACGCCCAGAGTGCCACACTCAGGACCAGTTTTCAGACTGAGCAGCCGACATATTCTTAAGTTAAAGGAATTCATTCCCGACATTTTTCAAACATTTGTGTCTACTCATTGTTGCCATCCAAGGGGACCTGAACTTCCATGATGTCTATCAAATCTGGTTCAGAATTTGGAAAATCATCAGGGAAATCAGAGAGATCGTCTGTGATTCTTTGATTTTCAAAGGCTACAAACAGACTGGCAAAACAAATGGCTGTTTTAGAGGGAAACCATAGCTTAGTTGTCTGGTTTGAAATGTCCTAATTTCCCTCTGTCAGACTGGCAGTGATGGAGAAAACAATAGCTGAATCTGAGAAGGATCCCAATCAAAACATATCCAGTTAGCCGTTCTAATTTTTAAACTGCACCTAATGAATTGCTGTATTTTCATAGAATTTAGGACTAGGGCAGATAGCAATGCAACAATAAATTAAGAGGCAGAAGCCTAACTGCAACTCACATCATCAGAGGCAGAGAGTGGCGGGACTGATGTATGATTGAAACTGACATTTTAAATTTATAAATGAGGATGGAAGGGAAGCTGAGTAAAACAGATTACTTAGAGATGCAGATTTCACAAGAAACAGATTACAAGTTAATAGTTGTATGTGTTAGAAACCCATCGTATGTATCACTGAGCAACAGTTGGGTATGAGCTTTACATCATCTTTTTATTATTAAATTCATTCATTATTAAACTTAATCACTGCCCATCTCACCGTTTGAGGCAACTCTGAGCGATTTCCCTTGACCTAATGTCCATGGCAATACTAAAAATACCCATTTTTATCTTTATCAACAATGAAACCTTTTCAACTGTACATTTTTTCCCTCATGTTAAGTAGCAAAACAGAGAGGTTTGTCTCTCTTCTGAGTGACAGTATGGCCAAATGGCAGCCGCTTCCACAAGTCCACCGCATGGCCCAGGGACGAAGCCAGGGCCCACTGAAAATAACAGCTGCTTCCAGGACACAGTCCCAAGGGTCAGGGATGCACGCCCTCCCCTCCTTCTCCAACGTGAGGATCAGAAATCTTAGAAAGAAAGAGGAGGGTGTGAGGCGTGCAGGGACCCAGTGGGAGGGAGAAAAAGCCTGTGGAGACCCTGGGGTGGGAAGGAACTGGGCGGCACAAGGGTTGGGAAACAGAGCACAACGTGGGGGAGGCCTAGAGATGCCTACAACAATGTCTGGGCCTGCACTAGGCCTCAAAGAGTTTTCCCCAACCCTGAGGTAGCCATTGTGACTGACACATTCAATTAATGATTGCATCAGAGAGATCAGGGTAGTTTAGGAAAGAAGTCTCACTTAACAGCCATTGCAACATGCAACCATAATTGCAAGGCCCATGACAATTATATCTTTTTTTTTATCTCAAAAGGAAACTTTTATTAGGGGCTAGTGACAGCAGGGAATCAAGGCGAGATCTGAGAGAAAAACCCAGGAAGCATTATATTAAAAGTAGTGTTCAATACTCCTGCCCCCAGAGTCCCAGTGTTCATTTGAATCCCAGCCAATCCACAGGTGGCATCATGTTTTGGTAACTGTGGGCTCCTCAAGATCTTTCTCATTTCTTACCAAATACAGCCTCCACAAACAAACAAAAACTACTACTAACTCCTATCAAAATGGAGAAATTGCATTCACAATTAAACTATAAGCTTATACTGGAAAAGATACATGAGGCCACTACAGAAATTTGTGCCATATTGAAAGAATCTACTTCAGAACTAAGATCCAGAAATTTCACTTCAAACATTCAAACGGATGACCAGACTACACCTGACTATTTTACAAGCCAAATTATATTAGAAGAGGAATTAACTGTGATAAAAGAAGAGCTTGTTTTACCCTACAAACCTTTCATCTGTAACTTTGAGGAACAGAAGAAGCAAAGATTGAGATTTTAAACTACAAAGCAACGATATTTTAAGAAAGAGAATGCAGAGAATGGGACTTCTATTTCTTCAAAGGCCATTCCAAGCAACAAAAATAGACTCACTGATTGAAAGGGAAGCGTGTTTATGGAGACCTGTCTGTTGCAGGAAAATAACCTAGAATTAGACTTAAAAGAGAAATCTAAAACTGTGTAATGGATTAAAAGGCAATACTAGATTTATGGATTGTTTTAAGGATTAAGATTTAGAGTTAGAAGCAACTATATATATATATATATATATGTCTTTAATAATTTTGAATATAGGAATCCCAGGTATGGACATTTAAAGTCAATCAGATAAAAATAAAGAGCTCTGGGATGTAAGACAAAAGCCTTTTTTTTTTTTATTAACTGCTGAGCTTTCGTTAACAACCTGTTAACATCATCAGAGCAAAGGGCTAAATGAGAAGGGGGAGCATGTGCATAAATTTACATAACTGTTAAAAAAACAGTTGAAGTGAGGCATGTGCACACATTGTGCCCAAGAAGCTCTTAAAGGCATAGAGCAGTCAGTCTCAAGACCATTTTAAAAGTCGCGCTTGTCAGCTGTTTGGCGCGTAGATCCAGCAAGCCTTTTTAGCCAGCCTCTTGGATTGTATAGTTTGTTTGGTGTAGGGTTGTTGTGTGTGTGTGTTTTGTTGGGTATGGTTATTTGGAATGTTTGTGTGTGTTCGTTTGTTATGCTTATTAGTTGTGGGTGGTTTTGTGGTGTTTGGGAATTGGGCTGTAATATTTTGTTCCATTGAATGTGATAAGTCATATTTCATTGTAGGGAGGAGTTTTGGTCTTGGTCTTAATATTCTGTTGTTACTTAGGTGTTGTGTGTGTATGTTTTGTTGTGTGTGAGTATCTTGTGAGGTTGCAGGATTTATGTTTTGGATGTTTGTGTCCTGGATGTTGTGGTCAGGGGGGTTGTTGTTTCTGTGTGTGAGAATATCAGAACATGGTGTGTTGGTTGTGTGAGTTGTCATGGTTGTGTTAGAATTATATTCTTTAGTTAGGTTTGATGAAAAGGATTGTGTTGTAGAAAGGATATCTATTGTGTTGGTTTGGGGTTTGATAAGTGGCTGGGGTGGTGTTTTTGTGTTATTATTGGTTGGGTTGAAGTGTTTAGGTACTTTATGTTTTTGTAAATGTCTTTTTAGGGTTTGGTAAGGAGGTAGTAGGTCTATGTGTCTATTAATAGAATGACAGTCTGAAAACCAAGCTTCTTTTAAAAGACGGCCTCCTTTGGTGGAATCATGAGCAATGACTTCTGCTCCTTTAAAGTTGAAAGTGTGGCCATGCTCAGCTATATGGGTCCAGACTTGGGAGCGCTGTTCTTGTCTTCTTACTGCCAAAACATGCTCATGTATTCTGGTCTTAAGTCTTTTTGATGTTTCTCCAATGTAGTTACATTGGCATGTGTTGCAGTTGATCTTGTATACGATGGAGGACAAATCACTGATTGGTAATGCT